TTATACATGATTGGAGGATGAATTAGATATTTTTGAAACAAAATGGCCACCTCCATGGTTTGAACCAGTTTGACTAACCAAGGCATCTTTCTTCAAAAATGAACTTTTTACAGATTTCTTTACGAAATACTGAACAACCTAATGGTTTACATGTAATCATAAGCAAATAACTTTAGAGTTCTTGTGATTGCTTTTTACCAACCATGCACCATACGGTACTGGACGAGAGATAAGAAAGCAATTTGATTGGGTTTGGTGTTTATACATGATTGGAGGATGAAGTAGATATTTTTGAAACAAAATGGCCACCTCCATGGTTTGAACCAGTTTGACTAACCAAGGCATCTTTCTTCAAAAATGAACTTTTTACAGATTTCTTTACGAAATACTGAACAACCTAATGGTTTACATGTAATCATAAGCAAATAACTTTAGAGTTCTTGTGATTGCTTTTTACCAACCATGCACCATACGGTACTGGACGAGAGATAAGAAAGCAATTTGATTGGGTTTGGTGTTTATACATGATTGGAGGATGAATTAGATATTTTTGAAACAAAATGGCCACCTCCATGGTTTGAACCAGTTTGACTAACCAAGGCATCTTTCTTCAAAAATGAACTTTTTACAGATTTCTTTACGAAATACTGAACAACCTAATGGTTTACATGTATCATAAGCAAATAACTTTAGAGTTCTTGTGATTGCTTTTTACCAACCATGCACCATACGGTACTGGACGAGAGATAAGAAAGCAATTTGATTGGGTTTGGTGTTTATACATGATTGGAGGATGAATTAGATATTTTTGAAACAAAATGGCCACCTCCATTTTGAACCAATTTGACTAACCAAGGCATCTTTCTTCAAAAATGAACTTTTCACAGATTTCTTTACGAAATACTGAACAACCTAATGGTTTACATGTAATCATAAGCAAATAACTTTAGAGTCCTTGTGATTGCTTTTTACCAACCAGGCACCATACGGTACTGGACGAGAGATAAGAAAGCAATTTGATTGGGTTTGGTGTTTATACATGATTGGAGGATGAATTAGATGTTTTTGAACCAAAATGGCCACCTCCATGGTTTGAACCAGTTTGACTAACCAAGGCATCTTTCTTCAAAAATGAACTTTTTACAGATTTCTTTACGAAATACTGAACAACCTAATGGTTTACATGTAATCATAAGCAAATAACTTTAGAGTTCTTGTGATTGCTTTTTACCAACCATCACCATACGGTACTGGAAAAGAGATAAGAAAGCAATTTGATAATGATTTCTTTGGGTTTGGTGTTTATACATGATTGGAGGATGAATTAGCTGTTTTTGAACCAAAATGGCCACCTCCATGGTTTGAACCAGTTTGACTAACCAAGGCATCTTTCTTCAAAAATGAACTTTTTGCAGATTTCGTTACGAAATACTGAACAACCTAATGGTTTACATGTAATCATAAGCAAATAACTTTAGAGTTCTTATGATTGCTTTTTACCAACCATGCGCCATACGGTACTGGAAAAGAGATAAGAAAGCAATTTGATAATGATTTCTTTGGGTTTGGTGTTTATTCATGATTGTAGGATGAATACTTATGCATAATCAATTTTGAAGCATTTCAGTTAATGGCAAAAATTTATTACATTAATTATAATGGCAATTGTACTTTGAAAGTGAGTTTGAATTGGGTCCTTTAATTCAAAGATGTAGACTTATGAACCACTATCAGCTGTTAGAAAAATAAAAAAAATCATTTCCAACGGGAACTCTTTCCTTCAATAAATAGGTAATCGTTTTAATTTATCATCGATGTAAAATAGAGTACCTATTACACTAGGTATTATTTAATTAAATGTTATAATATTTTCAAGCCCCGGGTGCCAAATAATATTAACGCTTTATCGAAGAAAGAATACGCGAAGGAATCCCACATGAAGGCTAACAACCTGTTAAGTATTCGCAAAAGATAACGAAATCTATTTTTAGAACAAGTACATTTGACAACACCGCATGATCTCTACTTAATACACCAATGTCATTTTATACACTATATGATCTCTACTTAAGTGTATTTATTTTTTGATCTCATCCTAACTGCTTTTTATATGGATAATTTTAATTGTATGAATTTCTTTCCCCTCTATAGGGGTAATGATAGAAGAACATATTTCATGTAATTGGCAACCCATTATACACGAATATTTTTAACTTTAAAGGGGGATCTCAGGTTATCCTACTATTATCCGGATCTCGACTTATATCAATAATAGATATATATATATATATATATATATATATATATATATATATATATATTATATATTATATATATATATATATATGTTATTGCCCATATATCTTATTGAAGTAAATATCAGTTATGTATTATAGATGTAAATATTCTATATTGTGTAATGTATAGTTAACTACATATACATTAAAATGTACATAAATCAGGTACTGCAGAGGTTAGAGGAAATTACATCTAATATACATATATTTTTATTTTGCGAAATTGCTGAACATCCTGACATAAATTAATCTCTTATTTATCTTTCAGTTTTTATATTAATTCTTAATAAGTTCTTTACATAATTATATTTTTTTTTTTTTTTTTTTTCTTCAGGAGGGGAAATGCAATGACGCACTAAGTGTGGGGCTCCCCCAGATACCGGGTATACCCACTAAAACCCCTCCTGAGGCATCGACTACTATGGTCATTTGCCTTATTAAATATATATATATAGGTATCAGTGTAATTTAGACTTAGATTTTAGATATTAGTCCAGTATTTCTAAGATATATTATAACTGCTCCACATCGATCTTTATTTGTCAAAGTTTCTATTATTTCTTCACTGAGGTTACACCGTACTCTTTCTACATTATATTTGGGACACACACAAAGTACATGATCTACAGTTAGGTTGACTAAACATTGTTCGCATTGGGGAGGATCTTGACTCATCAAAAGAAATGAATGCGTGAGGGAAGTATGTCCCAATCTGAGCCGATATATCTTTTCAAGATTGTATCTTCCCTTAATTGGTAAGAATATCGGACCCACAACCTCCTTGAACTTCCTTAGGAACGCTTCCGATTCACTCCACTGCCCGTTCCACATTTCCCATATTCGATCTTTAACTAGGGACCGACGGGCGTCCTTGGATAGTTCAGACATGTCTTCGGCTATCAGGTTCAATTCGGTCATAATTTCTTTGGCTCTCACAGTCAACGATCGACACCTAATTAAACGCGCACCTTCTATTACATCTACCATTCCGTGATAGTTCGGGTGATTCCTATCCAGCGAGACTTTTATGTAATAATTTGCTGCTATTTGCTTTCTTCTAAGAGCAAGAGGGGGAATATTAGCCTCGACATGGAGAGATACGACTGGAGATGTTGGAAAGGCGCCAAGTGAATACCTTATTGCCAGGTTTTGAATTTTGTCTAGTCGTCCTAACAATACATTACTACAGGTAGAATAGACATGAGATCCGTAGTCTATACGCGATAAGATCAAGGCTTTATATAGGTCCAGCATGGTTTTAGGGTGGGCTCCCCATTTATGATGAGCCAGCACCCTTAGGATGTTTAGTGATTTCCTGCAAGATACTACTAAATTGTCTACATGTTTCGTCCATCTGAGCTCGCTATCATACGTTAAACCTAAGAATCTTATATCATTAACAACATTAATGCCCCGATCGTTCATAAATAGAACTGGGCCGTAATGTGGTCTTCGGAGTCGACAGAAGTGTACACATTTTGTCTTCTCCTCCGACAGTACAAATCCTACAGCGTTAGCATTTTTTGTAATTTTGTTTATTGCCACTTGCAATTTACGTGTTATATCACCCACCGTTTTACCTGCACAGCATATCATTAAGTCGTCGACATATAAACATTTCTCCACTTCCTCCGCGACATTTATAGCAATTTCATTAATGGCAATACCAAACAGGGAGCAGCTAAGTGTTGATCCCTGCGGTACCCCATTTTCTAAGACATGCTCGTTCGAGTAAGTGTCACCGACTCTGACCACAAATTTCCTGTCTTCTATAAACGATTGTATAAATTTTGACAGATTCCCGCGTAAGTTATATTTAAACATGTTTTTTAATATTCCGTGCCTCCAGGTCATATCATATGCACCTTTTATGTCAAAAAAGACACCGACCAAATGTTCGCCATGATCGAACGCCCTCAGGATTTGGTTGCTTAACCTGACCAGGTGGTCAATCGTCGATCGCCTCTTTCGGAAGCCGGTTTGATATGGTACGTATATATTGTTGTTTTCAAGATACGTTTGTAACCTCTTATTGACCATTTTTTCTAATAGTTTGCCTAAGCACGAGGTCAAACTTATTGGGCGATAGTGCTGTGCCAGCAGCGGATCTTTTCCCGGCTTTGGAATAGGAACTACGATGGCCTGCTTCCATTCTGAGGGGTAAGTAGAATGGTTCCAGCAGTTGTTGAAGAATTTTAAAATGGATTCTTTCATTTCAGGACTACTGTGGCGAAGCATATGGTTATGGATGCCATCCTGTCCCGGTGCACACGATTTGGTGGTACGAATTGCAGTGTCTAGTTCTTCTGTGGTAAACGGTTGGTTATAATCTAAATTATCGTCGGTATTAAAATTTAAAGGTGCGGATTCTTTTACAGGTTTGGTCTCTAGAAAGATAGGATGATAATTTAGAGAACTACTAACTTTGTAGAATTGATCTGCAATGATGTTTGTTATATCCTGCAGGTTGCTTGTAATTATCCCGTCATTATTGCGTAAAAACGCGGGGTAATTGCGACCGATTTTTCCGGATATTGCTCCCACCTTCTTCCAGACTTCGTTACTGGTTGTCTCCGGTGTCATAGTGGATACATATTTTTGCCACGAATTTCTTTGTGCCTCCAGTATTCCTCGGCGACACTTGGATCTTCGTTTTTTGAAGTTTATTAGATTATCCAATGTAGGATTCCGACGGAATCTATTTAAGGCATTTTTCTTTAGTGTTATTTTAGTTTTTATTTCAGGTGACCACCATGGGACCATTTTTCTGATACGGCCGGGTTTTGATTTAGGGATACTTCCTTCGGCGGCTTCTAAAATCGAACTGGTTAGAGATTGAAGGTTTAAGGCACTCTGATTTGGAGGGACGAGTTGTAGCCTAAAACGTTTCCAATCAGCTTGTTCAATTTTAAATTTTGCTATCGTTCTCAACGGGCGATTATCGCCTTGGATTGTGATAATTATGGGAAAGTGGTCACTGTGATACAGATCATTTTCCACCTCCCATTTTATGCTGGTATGCAAGGTCGGTGAGCATACCGACACATCGATGGAGTCAAAATTTCCCGATCGGATATTAAAAAACGTTGCCGAATCGTCGTTTAAAAGGCTTAGGTTTTTATTTTCAATTAAATTTAATAGTTCTTTGCCTCGAGCGTCGTTTGAACCGGAACCCCAAACGGCGTTATGAGAATTGAAATCTCCGACAAGGATAAAAGGTGTCGTAAGCTGATTTATAATTTTTTCGATTTCCTCAACCTCGTAATTTGTATTTGGAACGTATATATTGCAAATCGTAAAAGATCTGCTTATTTCGAGTTGTATTGCTACGGCTTGATACTCTGTATCTAGTTCGACTCGTTTGTAAGGAGTACCTTTTCGTAAAAGGAGAGCCACTCCCCCACAGGCTCTTGCAGGTGAGTAGAAATCCTTTCTTATGATGTTGAAATTTTTTATGTTATATTTTGTTTTAGGTTTTAGATGTGTTTCTTGCAGGGCAACACATAATGGCGTATGTCTTTGAATCAATAGTTTCAACTCGTTTAAGTTATTGGATAGTCCCCGACAATTCCATTGGATAATTTTGGTATCCATTACAAAGATAAGATTAAAAGAAACAACAATGGAATAAATAATATTAATAAATAACAGATCATAGTGTATAAGGGACGACTACAAACAAATAACAATTAATTTAAGACAGATACAAGAGACAGATATATCACAGATTTGGTAATTCAATACAGATTGTAGGTAGATTATCACAGTAAATATATCACGTATGGGTATCAACACTAGAGAGAGATTTTCCTAGGTTTGCCCTTTGGCCATCCTTTTTTCTTCTTTTGTTGAAGAATTTGTTTTCTCTCTATATCTAAGGCTTCTTCATCTAATATTGGCGAAGATGGGGTTGAACTATCCTCATCTCGCTTCCTCTTATCAACAGGATCCGCGATTGTCACATGACAGTCCTGGGTAAGGTTTTCAATCCTCCCAGGTTTCGATCGGCTAATTGTTGTTTCTCCTTCAGAACTTCCATGAGGTAATTCTATCGGAGACGGAGATACGGTTGGTTTCGGCATTGATTGTTTAACATACTCAACTAAGGTGGAGGTAAGTTCTTTAATTTCGTCTTTAACAATTTTTCTGATTTCAGATACCAGGTTGGGTTGAGTATCAGTGGTTAGGCGTGTAGCAACATTTGAGTACGAGTTGTTTGAAGTAACAGCCGATCCAAGCATTCGTTTTGCCTCCAGATAAGACACCTTACGGGTAACCTTTATCTCTTGAATTTGTAACTCTCTTTTATACACTTCGCAAGTTCTAGAGTTTGCAGGATGTGTACCGTTGCAATTTAGGCATACGACTGGATCGTCACATGGAGAACCCGGGTGTAAGGATTTTCCACAGACACATACTTGTTCCTTCTCACATTTTAGTGTTGTGTGTCCGAAACGTTGACACTTGTAACATCTCATTGGTTGTGGAACATATGGTCTCACTTTCAACGTATAAAAAGCCGCATTAATCACCCTGGGAAGTTGGGTGGCATTGAAGGTAAGTATAAGGTTGGGAGTATCAATGAAGGTACCTCCAACTTTGGTCCTAATTCTCTTCACCGCTACAACGTTTTCTCCACCCAGTTCTTCCAATATTTCTTCTTCACTACAGTTCATTAGATCCCGGCAGTATATAACTCCTTTACTTAAGTTTAGCGTATCATGAGGTTTCACTTGAACTTCAAAAGTATCCCACGTGGATAGAGGACGGCCCCGAGGGAGCGATGTACAACCGAACCAAGTCAGGCTGGTTCGACGCTATGACTTTTGAGGATTGGTTCGACAAAATTATCCTTCCGTATTTTAGAAATCTCCTTGGGAAGAAGGTGCTAATCGGAGATAATTTAGAAAGTCACATTTCACTCCATGTTTTAGAAGCCTGTGAACAACATAGTATCAACTTTGTGTTGCTTCCTCCCAATGGAACACATCTTCTACAGCCGTTAGACGTGGCGTTTTTTGCACCTATGAAGAAAGCGTGGCGTGAGATATTAAGAGAGTGGAAAAACAAAAATAGAGGGTGTATACCCAAATCTGATTTTCCCCGCTTGTTCAACAAGTGTATAAAAAATATAGAAAACATTGAAAATAACATTAAGTCCGGTTTTAGAGGATGTGGAATTATCCCACTCGATCCAAATGTGGTTTTAAGTAAAATACCAGATGTCGATGCCAGTCAAGAGCAAGATCAGCGGCAAAATGAGAAGCACTGGACAACAACGTTACAGGAATTTCTGAAAGAAAGTCGGTTGGCGGCAACGCAAGATCTTCGTCCAAAGCGAGGTAAAAAGTTAAAGATCGCACCTGGAAAATCAATTGGACGCAAAGATTTGGAGGCTCCATCCACCAGCTGCGCTGACCATATAAACAGCGACTTAGAAAAAAATAGTGAAAGAGAAGATGAGACTGAATCAAACGATGACGATCTAGAACTCGAAGATGTGACTGATGGTGATGAAAAGGAAAACTGTGGTCAAGAGGACTTAGAGACTGATGCGGATTTAGTATCTAATGTTATACAGGGAACTTTTGTGTTAGTGAAATTTAATTGCCCTAAGAATGCCCATAAATATTATGTTGGGTGTGTCTCAGAAATTGTTGATGAAGCCAAAAACGTTTATTATGTTAATTTTTTAAGGAAACAACAATCAGAGAAAACTGGGGTCCACTTTGTGTACCCCAATACCAAAGATCAGAGCTTAGTAGAGGGCCCCCAAATTTTTCAAATTATCAAGGATGTCAAATTCTTAAGACGCGAGAGATTTCAATTTCCCAGTTTGAGGAAATACGATGTTAGAATCGAATGAACAAAAAATGTTGTTACCTAGGTACCTACTCAAATATTTTTGACTTTCGACCTTAACAAATGCCAAATATTTTTGATTTTTAGACTTTTTAGAAATAGATTTTATTTTTTAAATGTGTTATGGTCTTTTATAATATTGAGTTGTATTTTCAAATTATGTTTTTGTATTTTTGAGAATAAAAATAAGAGTTTTCGTTATGTAAATTGCATTTTTTTTGGATTTTTGTGTTAAAAAACATATTTATAATTTTTTTCTGTCCGAATTCGCCCCATATATAGTGTGAAGAATAATTTACAGGCAAATTAAATGGGTGTCCATCTTCACCCCACACATAGGGGCGAAGGCGGACAACATTAGACCAAAAAAAATAGGGGTTGGGGTAACATTTTTCTTCAAAAGCTATATGAAATCACATTCTACAAATATGGAGGTGTATACATTAATTTTTTTGACAATTTTTGCCCTAATGGCGTGGGACTAATCTATAGAAAAATCCAAAAACTGTCCGCCTTCACCCCAGATGACGGTATTTTAAATATTTGTACAACGCATGGTCCACATAAGAATTTTCATCTTATTAATAAGATATTTAAGCTTTTCCTTTTCTTATCATTTCTTCTTGCCAAGAAACTTTACCTGGACCTGTGAAATATTTTAAATAATTTTCTCTGTTTTGTTTTGCTTCAAATGGCACATTTCTAATGGTGTTTCTGTTGTAAAGGAATTATTTGCGAATTTTGATGTCTCCAGTCTTATTCTACAGTGCACGTTTCTGTATTTTCTCTATCAAAGGTAGTCGCAGTTACATATGTTGAGCTGTGTCTTCTTAAAGAAGTTATGCAAAACGCATATCGCAAGAACTACATACTTTATGTTTTGGATTTTGATATTTATAGCAGTATGTAGGATTCTAAACCTCGACGCGAGAACACCAAACGCGTTCTCTACCACATTTCTTGCTCTTGAGAGGGAAAAAACAGAGTAGGAAGACACACAAAACTTCCTGAGAGCTTGCACGTCAGCCCTTACCCGGGACAATAGTGACGAATTTGAGGTTGTTGGAGCAAATGTAGCTGCTAAATTACGACGCATGGACCCAATTCAGCAAATCTATGCAGAAGCTATTATTCAAAAAACCCTTACAAGGGGCTTGTTGCATCACCTCACCGGAAATACTGATCTTTATGAGAATAGTTCATGGACATTAAGCACTCCTAACTCTAACCCGTCTCCAACAATTTCAAACTCAACAACACTAATATACCCAAGACTTCACCAAGTTATACAGATCCCGGTCCTCAATCAGCCATTAATGTTCGACAATATTATGAAACATGCTACATTAGAAAACAATACTCAGTTCATGTAATATTGATATTGCCACAAGTTAAAAAAATGTACTTATAAAATAATAAAAAGCTCTTACCTTTAAATAATCTTGTCGTAATTTTTCAATTATAATTTTACATGTTTCTGGAATAATATATCCCAAAGCTTGGGACGAAATTCCGGTGGAAAATTTAAGATCTTCATATGATCTCCCATTAACCGTTCTTCTGGAATCGCATTTCTCATTATTGTATCCTGTTTAGTAAAATGTGGTTTAAGTAAATTAAGAAGATGATCAAACGTTGCACAATCCATTCTTAGATAAATACGAAAATCAGAGGGATTATTCTCTCCAAGTTCTCTCAGAAGCGAGATGTGACTATATCACGCCCTTTCTTTCAACCAGTTCTTTGTCCAAGAGAAACGTTTTATCTTCTTTTTTCTTAACTGTGATACGCATACATATATATATATATATATATATATATGTATAGTAATAATTATATATATAATCGCCGTTTTTCGTTTTTTATTAAGCATTATTTCTCGGTACCAACAAATATTATAAACACAACTCAACTAATTTGTTATACTTTTCACCAAGTGCAGATGAAGTTAGTGCTGTCACCACCGTTGCAGGACGTCTTCTACTTGCACTAAATTTTCTCTACAACGTAATTATAAGCTTAAGCAATCTATCAGTAACATGTTACCTTTTTAGAAGGTTGGTCATATTCCACATTTTGTTTACTGGAGGTGGAAGGTGTATGATCAGATTGTCATGATTTTTCAATATCACCATGGAGTTCATGTCTTGTCATTTTGATTAGTGTGTTGTCTTGGTCAGAAAGGGCTTTGTTATTAATTTGCCATTTTAACCTAACCTTTGGTTAGAACCAACTTATTGAGCATAGATCATTTTAAACTATCAACTGCTAAATATCATCATTGATTGAGCTGATAGCTCTTTGTCACACTATGCATTATTGCATTGGAAGCAAGTCTTAATTAATATAACTCTTGTTACTTTGGAGGAATGAATGAAACTGCTATTGAGTTTTAGTCTTTAATAATAACTAAGGAACAAATAAATGAATGAAAGAGTCAATTGCGCAACAAAATGATTAAGTCAACTAAAACACTAATTCTAGACTGTATAAAATAAGGAACTAATTTACACTGTTCAAAGAGAAACACAACTTAAGCTAAGGTAAGCTCAATCTGTTCTCTTGGTTTTATCACTGCGAGCAAAGGCAGCTTCTTCTGCAGATCTCTTTTTCGACAGAGATGGGGATGTAGGTGCTGTTGCATGTTTAGCCGGACCTAACCAAGGAGCATCATAAATGAGAGTGCCTCTGGTGGTAACTGTTTCTTCCAATATGCCAGATTTCTTGCACCAATTAACTCTCATAGCATCATCAAGAACGGGTGATGAGTGAGCGATGAGCTGGAATTTTTGAATGTCGTCTGTCTCCGGAGCAGTGGTATTCTGGTGCATGAATGAGTTAAATAAGTGAAGGTATTCTAAGTGTCTAGCTAACAATTCATCTGTTAGCGGACCTAGCACCTTGTGACTTGGGATGAGAGCTGCAAAGAACGGAGTCAGAACACACTTTGGATTCCCCTTTGCGAATGCACTTTGCTCATGGATGCCTAGCCTTGCAGTCTTCTTGGCCAGCATAGCAGAGCACACCTGCTCCGGGAAACAAGCCCCAATTCTTGACATAGTAATTGTATAATTGCTAAGTTTGGACCTTGGAGGCTTTATGCTGTACTTTGCCTTTAAAGCGCGTATCGGTTCCTTTGCTTCCTCCTTAGCCCTTTTAATGATCTTGTCTAGGTCTGAGCCCCTGGTCACTAGGATGGTGATTAACCTTCTTAAATCCTGCTTGAAGGTTTCTGGGTCTGGCTCCTTATTGCTTATGATCTTTCTAGTGACTAAGGGATTAAACCCATCATAGGCAAATAGTTCGCCATTCTCGCGATCAGGAACGGTGAAGTCAACCCTCTACTGAATGCTTCCGCTTTTCGGCATTAATGAATTCGTATCAATTCTATCCCACAATCACAGACTATACAAGAATTACATCGTTATCGAAAACATGTATTGATAATATTTATACCAACTATCAGTACGTCAGCGCACAAATAATTCACACACACATATCAGACCACACTGCTCAGAAAACCTCATTTTATGGAAATATTGTAAATCCTAGTATCACAAGATTGCGGAGGTCGTTCAACTTAAACAATAAAGTCACGTTTAAAGGCAGACTTGCAACACAAAATTGGCTCAGCTTGTATGCAATCGTCCCAAATGATGTAAACGAACAGTGGAACCACTTTATGGGTATTTTACTTCCCTTATGGCCGTTTGCACCAACATATTTAAGCTTCACTTAAATTTTAAGTTTAGCTTAAAGTATACTTGTCATTTCACCAATGCATAAGTGTCACTTAAATCGTGAAAATGCCTACTTAAGTAAAGTGGTGCTCTGATGACAACTTAAATAGATTGTATGGTTATGTTCGTATGGTATCGTTAAAAAAATCCAAAAATGGACATTATACATGATGATGATGACCTGGAAATTATTGATTTCATAATAAATGGAGGGTTACCAAGGCAAATATATATCAGGAATGACCATTTTCATGGATATGACAATGAGTCCTTTCGGAAGCGATTTCGAATAAGTAAAGTTTGTGCTATTGAGATTTTGCAGCAGATTGAAATGTATTTAGAATTTCCAACTGATAGGTAAGTTGTAGTATTACTTCAATATAATGAGATTTCTGAGTTGTGAACATTATTACAGAAACAACTGTGTTTCTCCCATGAATCAGTTGCTGTTAACTTTACGCCTTTATTCTACTGGTGGGCATTTGCTTAGTGTTGCCGATTTTTGTGGAGTACATGTATCAACTGCATGTAGAATTGTACGAAGAGTGTCAGAAGCCATCGCTAGATTGTACAGACAATACATTCAAATGGCAACCACACCAGATGATATGATGGCTTGTCAAAGAGAATTTTTCAATATAGCCTCATTTCCGAGGGTCGTAGGAGTTATAGATTGTACTCACATTAAGATTGATTCACCGGGTAATATTTTCGGACATGTTTTGTTTACACCTAAATTCGTTTTGTGATTGTTTAGGAGGAGAGGACCCAGAAATATTCAGAAATAGAAAGGGTTATTTTTCCATTAATGTACAAATGATATGTGATGCCAATCTCAAGATTATGAATGTAGTAGCCCGCTGGCCAGGATCAAGTCATGACTCCACAATATTCAGCAACAGTAGAGTTCGTGTAAATTTTGAACAAAATATTTACGAAAACTGTTTATTACTTGGTAAATGATTTTTAATACAAACATAAAATAATTAAAAACTTAAATTATTGTATAGGAGATAGCGGGTATCCTAATAGACGATACTTGATGACACCTCTTTTAAACCCAGCAACTCCAGCTCAACAATTGTATAATGAGGCTCATATAAGAACAAGAAATTGTATAGAACGTTGTTTTGGTGTAATCAAAAGAAGATTTCCAATATTAGCATATGGTTGTCGTCTCTTAATAAATAGCACTCTGAGCATTATCATGGCTACTTCAGTTCTGCATAATAAAGCATTACAAGTTGGTGACCTAAACGTGCCTAACCTACCTGATGAAGTGAACATTCACGAATTGGATGTTCAAATACAAAACGGTAACATACCTGTTCCCAATATGGATGGTATAGGAATTGTCGGATTCAGACATGAGCTTATTAATAATTATTTTGCAAATTTATAAGAAAAAAAATTGGCCTCTGCAATAAACCCAGTATTGAAATGATTTTTTTTTAAATTTTCATATCTACTATTTCACGCAACAGTTTTTTTTTAATTTTCACTATACACATGACCATTATAAACAACATATGCTATAAATTGCAACAAACCTAACATTATTAATGGGAACATTAAAAAAAATACATATACCTTAATCATGCTATTTTTATATTGGTATGATAATTTTAAGTTGCTTTTTTTGAAAAATACTCCAGCTGAAGCTTTTTAATTTCAATGTCCAACTGTTTAGATTGGATATCAAGTTGAAATGATTGGTTTTTCAATTCTATTTCTTCTTTAAGTTGCTTAAATTTTAACAATTTCTGTTCCTTTTCCAATTTCAAAATTTCCAATTTCAAACCTCGTTCAGTTTTTTCTTCCTTTATGGAAGTCAACTGCTCATTGGCAATTTCTGCTTTCACTTCAGCCAATTTTTCATATTGAAGTGCCAGGTTACCAGATTCCGTGACCACAGGTCTACGACGAGATGTCCAATTTGCTTTTGGCTGCCGTAATTTACAACTCGTTTGCTTCTTTAAATCTACAGCTTTATAAGATGCCCAGTCGTCTTTTTCCTGTAAAAGAAATATAGCACAAATTTGTTTTGTATGTGTAAACTAACATGAATTCTTTTTCGTGCTGATGAAACAGGAGTTTCATTTGGGGTTGATGGTGGGCTTTGTTCTGCCATTTCTTTATGCTAAAATAATAATTACTCATAGCTTTATTGGAGACAAATATATTAAATTAAAATTACTTCTTCAAATACAAATAGTAGTTCATCATTGTTAAGGTTAAGGGCATCTCCAACATTAACATTTTCTTCGCTTAAATCATCATCAAATGGATTATGTAATCCACTCACAGACTTTTTATTCATGATGGCCATGGTTAACTCCAGGGTAGGATCAGAGAATTTTAAAGTATCTTCAATCTGTCCTCCACCGGTTTTGAATTTTTCCGCACGATCTGCAGCTGCTGCTTTCCGTGTGTCTCGTTTCTTATTCTCGTAAAATTTCTTTATGCTCTCCTTCGTTCGATACACCTTACTACACATTTGAAACTCGTTTTGGATGTTATCCCAAGCCAAATCTTTTTCTTTTGAGGTAATTTGGTCAGTTTTTTTGCATTCTATGACGGACTTATGTTTGGATATCAAATTAAGTAATAGTATCTTCTCATCGGCAGTAAAATTTGCACTGCGTTCTCGCACTCGTTTTGCCTCGTTCTCATTCATTTTCATTCCATTCATTTCAACTCAATAATTAATTATTAATTTTCTCTGCACTGCGCAAACTGTCATCAAACTACTATACAACAAACTGTTTTGACGTTTTGAGGTGACAAATGAATAACACGAAGATAGATACTGCGTTGATTTACGTGCAAATTAGTTCAAATTGACATTAAAGTGACACTCAGGTAAGTGTTACTTATTATTTTTTCTATTTCGATTTTTAAATGTTCTTATTAACGCACTGTTTTCCGCTCAAAACAGTGCGTTAATGAGACCTATTAACGCACCGTTTTTAAGTTGGTATTAAAGAGGAAAACCTAAATTCACTACCCTATTTGACATTCGATTGTATTTATTTACAAATTAGGGTTATGTTTTGATATACAGAAAGACAAGATTTCCTTTCTATTTGATTAAAAGCGAGACATGTAAGGCTGATAAAGTGTTAATCAAATTACAAGAAGAACAATATGAAAAAACCACTTAATTACTTTCTCCTTCCAAAACTCAAAAGGGAATTAAATATTACGGTATGTAGCGTAAGAACCGAGATATCAAAAATGTGGGGCTTTGAGGTAAATTTGTACATTAATGATTAATGCCTCTTTTTGTAGCACGTTCAACATCTACGTACAATCTGTGAACAATGATTACTAGTACGAATAGTGTACCTATCTTCCAAAAACGACCTACAGGTTATAAAGGAGATTTCGAATGGGGAATGGATGACAACGAGGATACCTTCGGAACACATTAAACAATATTTTAAAGGAGCAGCTATTGCTTTTAGCACTTGTTCTGCGTTATTCATATCGTGAGCCTGATTTGTGTAGTATCGTTATGCTCCTAAGAGGAAGTGACGATCCGAAGCCGAACCCGTCGTAATGAGTGACACCTATCACGTAACAACAACCCACTAAGGACCGATCCGTTAGTGACCGTTAATGGCAAATCGCGAAAAGAAACCTTTGTTTTTCTTTTATGTCAGTCACCAATATAAGTAGAAGCAGTGTCATATGGGCGAAATCTGTTAGCTGTTAGCTTTGTCGTTAATCGACAGTGACACGACTGAATTTCACATAACTTATATAAAAGGACGAAGGACTGCATTTTGCCTTTATGAATTGTTCCACAGTTAATGTACTAATTTCTGAAGTTTATTAATTAAAACAAAATTGATGAGAGTGTATTTAAATAAGTGAAATATTTGGGACGTGGTACTGCCAACTTAATACAACCTACACTAATACAACTTCTATATCAAAATTCCCTAGTTACAAAAAGTTACTATAACATCATTTTGATAAAAATTTCTCGAAAATTTCTTCTCAATAGAAAAAATAGTATAAGAAACTTGTTTCATAAGACGCCCCATCGCACTCGTTCATTAGAAAACTCGCCGCGAGCGGCTCGTTTTCTAAACTTGAACTCGTGCGTTAAACGCGCCCCTTATGAAACTTGTTTCTTAATATACTATT